TTGGTGGTTTCACATTGTGAAACACCAGGGGATTTACTGTCTTTATAATTCTGGTCATACTTTTAAACACTAAATATAGTTTACAAATAGACACACATATGCACATTTGAAAAACACTACTGCTGGGCTAGATGACATGGTGGTAAAAGCAACTGAGCTCAGCCTTTGCTAGTGTTCCCACCATTGTAAGTGCTGATGCAGCTCTGCACTAATGCTAGAATAACAATAGGAGAGTTCCCTAAATAGATGCCGTCCCAGTGAGTTAAGCTCCCAGCTCCTACCAGCCATTGGTAGGTGAGTTACTGAGCTCTGGTCTAATAGGGTGTGTTTGTGTAATTCTCCACTGGTGCAGTTCTAGGGTTAGATTAATAGTAGTGAACATATAAGTGCTATGTTTTACCATCAGTGCAGTGCCACAGGTAGTAGCTGTAGTGTAATTGTCTCTGATTTTTGTTAGTATAGACACACTCATACCTACTGCTTCCACTAGAGCACTGTGCATCTCCCACCCTTTCTCTGGAGCTTTTTAATAATACTTTGTATTTGGTTCATCAGAGGCTTTCAGACTCCTTTACGAACTTTAATTAAGCCTCACTTCATCTCCTTGCGAGGTAAGGAAGCAGCATTATTCCCAATTTACAGAAAGGGACAATAAGACATACAGGCTAAGTGACATGCTCAGTGTTGTACAGTCTTTGGCACAGCTAGGAATAGAACACTGGAGCTTTGATTCCTAAACCCCTGTTCTAACCACTAGATGTACTTTCTTCTTTAACAGAGAATAAGATTAGTTCCTATTATGTTTGATTTTGAATTAATTTTAAATATGTGGGGGAGAGGGGGGAAGTGCCATTTTCTGAATATTAAAGAAAACAGAGTGAACTAGTCCATGGCCATAAATTGCTTTTATAAAACTCTTCTCGTTCTTGGCAGACCTCAGTGAATGGCAGCCTTGAATTGGCTCTAGGGACATCTGTTACCCTATATATATGAGTCACACACGTGAACAGGTGATCTCCTAAATATATGGAATTCAATAACACGTGGAATCCAGAGTACTTATTTAAGCCCAAGGAGTCTGGAGGAGGGGTCCTTCCCTCCGCGATCCCCCTCAAATAGTGAACTGTGGAATAACCCTTGAAAAAGTGCATTCTATGCTGGCAATGTTTTACCCTTGAAATCTTTTGTGTGCATGCACAAAGTATTCTGTCCTGTTGATATCACTTGATAAGGGATGTACCTTTCAGGATATTTTTTCTCTGTAAATGACTTTGGGCTAGATTTTAAAAGGTATTTCAGGATTTATGTCACAATGGAATCATTGGGAGTTAGGTGCCTAAGTACCTTTAAAAATCTGGCCCGTTGTTCCTTCTCTCTTCCTTCTATTCAACCATATTGGCAATGATTGGTTTCTTACTGTAAAATGATGCCTTTTGAATACAGTAAACAAATGAGAGAGAAGAATTCTTCAGTTCAATCCAAGGTTTTATTAATAGGAGTAATGGAATGAGATTTGAGCAAAGGAAAATTTAGAATGAATATCTGAAAATATTTCTTATTAGTGAGAGCCATTGTTGAACTGTGGAGTAGTGTCCCAAAGATATTGTTGAAAGTTCCATCACTTGAATACTTTAAAACAGAGTGGGATAAGGCACTGGAAAGCATACTGTTGGGAATATTCTGCATTAACTAGAGCATGGAGATGGGAGAAAGATGGACTAGATCTGACCAATACAGTGACTCACTCACACCCTCGTTCACTTCTTCAAAAGGGCTATTTCCCCCCAAAATAAAGAAAATTATAAGCAAAATTGATTGGGAGGAAAAACTTAGACCAATATGAATGAAGATTGGATGCCCATTAGATGGACAAAAAGTCCCAATTCCATGCCCAAGGAACAGGATGACTGTGACTAAAAGCCCATCTGGGTTCAGTGGCAAAATAAAGGCAACAATTAGAGATTAAAAATCAATATATAACTAACGGAGAAAAGGGGAAATAGCAATCAATATAAATTAGAAGTTATAAAGTGTAGAAAATTGATAGGGGAAGCTTCAGATGTCAGGGAAAAATCCCTGGTTAACAGAACTAAGGACAATAAGGAAGGGTTTTTTTAAAGTATATTAGGAACAAAAGAAATCATAGAAATTGTATAGGCCCATTACTTGGTGGAGATGATAACGCAGAGAAGGCTCAGGTGTAAAATAAATATTTTAGTTGCAGATTTGGCAGGAAGCAGGATTGTGTACTCTCATCATATGAAGATGATGAAGTACTTTCCAATCCATTAATAACTAAGGAGGATGTTAAACAATATCTACTAGATATACACATTTTTAAATCAGCAGGCCCCAATAACTTGCACCTAAGAGGCCTAAAAAAGTTGGCTGAGGAGATCTCTGTCCCACTGATGTTAATTTTTAATAAATCCTGGAATATTGTGGAAATTCCAGAAGACTGGAAGAGAGGGCTAATGTGCCAATATTCAAAAAGAGCAAGTGGGATGATCTGGATAACTATAGACTGGTTAACCTGGCATAATTCCTGGGCAAAATAATGGAAAAGCTGACACAGGATTTCACCATTCAAGAATAAAGGATAGAAGTATAATTAATGCCAGTCAATATGGTTTTATGGAAAATAGATCTTGTCAAACAAACCTTATTTCATTCTTTGAGATTACCAGTTTGGTTGACAAAGATAACTGCGTAGATGTAATATACTTAGACATGCGTAAGGCGTTTGATTTAGTACCTCATGATATTCTGAATTAAAAAAAAAATAAAAGTATATAATATCAATAAAGCACATGTTAAATGGATTAACTGGCTCTCTGAAAGATGTCAATAAGGAATCATCAAATCTGGGTTATTCTAGTGGAGTTCTGTAGGAATCGGCCCAATGCTAGTCAATATTTCTTCAATTATCTGGAAGTAAATATAAAATCACTGCTGGTTTAAAAAAAAAATGTGGGGATGACACCAAGATTAGTAGAGGGATAAATTTTGATAGGACAGTCCTACAGAGTGATCTGGGTCACTTGTGAAGTTGGGCCCATTCAAAACAAATGTGTACTAATGCAGCTGAATGTAAAGAGGATTATGTCCTGAAAAGGATCTGTGGGTCATAGTGGACCAGCATCTCAACATGAGCTCCCAGTGTGATGCTGTGGCTAAAAGGGCTATGCTAACCATTGGATGTATAAATGGGAGCAATGAGTAGGAATAGGGAGGTGATTTTTACCTCTGCATATATTATTGATCAGACAGTACTGGAATACTGCATACTGTTTCGGTGTCAACCTTTTAAATAGGATGGTGAAAGATTGGAGGGCATAGAGAAAAGATGATTAATGGGTTGGAGAAGATGCCTTACACTGAGAAACTTAAAGAGCTCAATCTGTTTAGCCTATCAAAAAAAATTGAAAGGTTACTTGATTTGTGTATAAATACCTTTGCAGGGAGAAAATACTGGGTACTAAAGGGCTCTTTAAACTAGCGAAGAAAGGTGTAACAAGAACCAATGGCTGGAAGCTGAAGCCAGACAAATTGAAATAGAAACAAAGCACAAATTTTTATCAGTTAGCATAATGAAACTGGTGGATTCTTCATTTCTTGAAGTCTTCAGATCAAGACTGGATGCCTTTCTGGAAGATGTGCTTTAGCCAAACACAAGTTATTGGGCTCAATACTGGGGTAACTGGGTGACTATGATCTGTAATATACAGGAAGTAAGATTAGGTGATCTAATGGTCCCTTCTGGCCTTAAAATCTATGAATCCTTGCCTTGAAGAGTGTACAGGTTAAATTCAGATAGATGGGCAAAAAAGAGGCAATTGGAAGAGGAAGGATAAGGGTTATGATAAAATAATGAATGAGCCTGTAAGGCATGTGCATATGCTAGTGGTTCCATTGTATTTGTTTGGGGGTTTTCTTATCTGTCTTCTCACAGACAATGCTGAAAAAGTCAGTTTCTTTGCCTTCCAATTTCTCTGGATCCGACCAAAGAGCTACGGCATTCAGCATGTGACATTGTGTATCAACTATTTTGAACAATTGCAAAAGCTCTTTTCTTAAATGGGAAGAGTTTGTCTACTGTAAGGATGTAGATGATACAAGTACCCTGACAAAGGCATGAATTTGAAGAGAGGATGGGACCCAATACTTATTAGTATTAGCTCTGGTTTCCAAGTGCGATCTTATTGTGGGAGCTGTACTTTGATGTTAGATGGACACCCCCCAACTCGTCTCATGAATGAATAGTTTTAAGGGACGAACCACACCCTTTGCAGCCTGCATGCTGCGGTTGTAATAAGTATGTTGAAGGTTTGTGTTTGAAACACTGAAGGAGTTTTATTTGTACTAAACATTTTAATGTGTCACCAAAAAATAAAATAAAATCCCAGTAATGGTGAATCTGGTGTAGGAGCATCTCTAGATATTCTTTAGATGTCACCTTGAGGACACGATGTGAGGATGCTACAGAATTTGCAGGTGGAGGGGAGAAATAGTCATATATCTTGCACTTCAAATACATTTTAGTGACCAAGATATTGTATAAAAATAACAGGCACATGGGCAATTACAATTTTAGGAGCTGTTTGGGACTTTAGTGTTGGACCCTTCCCACTGGAGCACAGTCAATCCATATTTTGTTTGTTTTTAAATGTTCATGGTTTGGAGAGAGAACTTGGTGCTCTACAGCTTCTTGAGAAACAGGCCTGACTTTTCTGCTTTGCGGATTTTTATCGTCCTGCCAAGACCCTTTGCAACTTCCTCTCCTCGTCACCCACAGCGAATACGGAAACCTTGCTGCTTAAGGCCACTTCTGCAATTGCAGGAGTGCAGACGAGTGAGGTGGGAGGAGGGGGCTTTCTCTTCCGTTCTCACTTATTTTGGAGTCAGAAGAGGAAAATACAGTGTATTTGAAAATGTGCCCAATGTTGTGGTGTCTCCAACTGATCTGTTTCCCTCTCTCCTCTTTCTCTGCCACCCTGCAGTGCTGCAGTTGAAGCTCCAGCAGCGACGGACACGGGAGGAACTGGTGAGCCAGGGGATCATGCCGCGTAAGTACCATTTAAACTTTTTCCTTCTCTCTGGGCATTTCTGTCACCTGCTTGTGAATGAGGGGAGGTGGTTTGTGTTGGAGTTGAAACACCTGACCCTCTGTTTCTGCATAAAAAATGCTAGATGTGAGAGCCCCACCCCATTTCACCAGACCGCCTTCTAAAGTATTAGGGCTACCTGTAATACCGAGAAGCAGTGTTGGCAACAAGTTTCTTTAAGTGTACTCAAAATACAATGGCTGTATTGCTTGCTATGAAAGCCTTTTGGAGAGTGTGTGTCATATTAGAAGTGCCTTACATACTCGGCACATGCTGATAATCACTCTTAGCAGGCTTCCTGCCTTTAGAGCTTCCATTCTTGTCTGTCAGCTCCCCATAACTCTTGTGTGGCTGTTGTGAATTAGTCTGTCCATATCCACACACGTGGTAAGATTTCTACTCATGCATACAAGATGTCAGGACGGTAAGGCAGCTCTGTTCCTACCTTTGCCAGATTATTAGAAACGCATTTAGTAGGAATCTGTGGGGAACGGCAGATTCTGTTGCAGGGAGAAAGATCTGCAGACACTGTAACGTGATAATATTAATGGGTGGGGTAAGTATACTGCAACACTGAACTCAATGTGTGCATGACTAAATCAGGTTTGGAGAACATAAGAACAGCAATACTGGGTCAGACCAAAGGTCCATCTAGCCCAGTATCCTGTCTTCTGACAGTGGCCAACTAAGTGCTTCAGAGGGAATGAACAGAACATGTAATCATCAAGTGATCCATTTCCTGTTGCCCATTCCCAGCTTCCGGCAGACAGACTAGAGACACCATCCTGGCTAATAGCCATTGATGGACCTTTCTAGTTCTTCTTTAAACCCTGTTATAGTCTTGGCCTTCGTAACATCCTCTATCAAAGAGTTCCACAGGTTGACTGCATTGTAGGAAGAAATACTTCCTTTTGTTTGTTTTAAACCTGCTGCCTATTCATTCATTTGGTGACCCCTAGTTCTTGTGTTATGAGAAGGAGTAAAGCACACTTCTTTATTTACTTTCTCCATACCGGTCATGGAGAACAGCTTTTTGAACATACAGAAAGATGCCTGTAGAAATGGGGCTGAATAATTTGGTTAAAACTTCTGAACTGGGTAACATTTTCCATGTGCATGAGCAGCAAGCGAACAAGGGAGCACCAAAGAGTAGGTGTGAGTTATTTTTGGTGTTCTCTGCATTTCCCCTGAACGCCTTAGGGTCAGTTAAACTGTTTCCTTCTTTAAGAAACCTCCCCCAGCGCACACACCTCTTTAGTGTCAGCTAAAACCAAAAGGGGCTACACTATCTCTTTGGACAGGGGAGGTAGAGAAGGGGATTTCCTGGGGTGTACTCTGAAATGATAGTGCCTTCCCCTTCTAAAATAATACAGTTTGTCACCTCTAAGTTTGTGTAATGAATACCTGTCAACATCACTTTGTCAACTGGAGTACTTCAATGTAAGGCAGTGATCTGCTCCTGGCGGCTTGAAAGACCCCATTTTTAAAATTCCACCACCAAATTTAAAAAGGAAGATTGGGTTGATTTGACGGATTTTGCTCTCTTCTTGGATACTAGTAACTCATGCCTACCTGTGATTACTTTTATCTAGGGCTGTCGATTAATCGCAGTTAACTCAAACGATTAACTCAAAAAAATTAATCACAATTAAAAAAGTTAATCGTGATTAATCACACTGTTAAACAATAGAATACCAACTGAAATTTATTAAATATTTTGGATGTTTTTCTACATTTTCAAATATACCTATTTCAATTACAACACAGAATACAAAGTGTACAGTGCTCACTTTATACTATTTTTATTACAAATATTTGCACTGTAAAATGATAAAATAAATAGTATTTTTCAATTCACCTCATACAAGTACCATAATGCAATCTCTTTATCGTGAAATTGCAACTTACAAATGTAGATTTTGTTTGTTTGTTACGTAACTGCACTCAAAAACAAAACAATGTAAAACTTTAGAGCCTACAAGTCCACTCAGTCCTACTTCTTATTCAGCCAATCGCTCAGACAAACAATGTTTGACAAACATTATTATGCCCCTTCATGCTTCGGCTACCAATACAGAGGACATGCTTCCATGCTGCTGATGCTTATTAAAAAAATAATGCATTAATTAAATTTTGACTGAACTTCTTGGGGGAGAATAGTATGTCTCCTACTCTGTTTTACCCGCATTCTGCCATGTATTTCATATTATAGCAGTCTCGGATGATGACTCAGCACATGTTGTTCATTTTAAGAACACTTTCACTGCAGATTTGACAAAACGCAAAGAAGTTACCAATGTGAAATTTCTAAAGATGGCTACAGCACTTGACCTAAGATTTAAGAATCTGAAGTGCTTTCCAAAATCTGAAAGAGAGGAGGTGTGGACCATGCTTTCAGAAGTCTTAAAAGAGCAACACTCTGATGCGGAAACTATAGAACCCGAACCACCAAAAAAGAAAATCAACCCTCTGCTTGTGGCATCTGACTCATAATGATGAAAATGAACATGTGTTGGTCTACACTGCTTTGGATGATTATCAAGCAGAACCTTTTCATCACCATGGACGCATGTCCCCTGGAATGGTGGTTAAAGCATGAAGGGACATTAGAATCTTTAGTGCATATGGCATGTAAATATCTTGTGACACTAGCTACAACAGTGCAATGCAAACAAACACCTGTTCTCATTTTCAGGTGACATTGTAAACAAGAAGCAGGCAGCATTATTTCCTGCAAATGTAAACTAACTTGTTTGTCTGAGCAATTGGCTGAACAAGAGGTAGGACTGATTGGACTGGTAGGCTCTAAAGTTTTACGTTGTTTTATTTTTGAATGCAAGTTTTTTTTTGTACATAATTGTTGTACATTTGTAAGTTCAACTTTCATGATAAAGAGATTGCACTACGGTGCTTGTATTAGGTGAATTGAAATATACTATTTGTTTTGTTTCTGATTACAAATATTTGTACTGTAATAAAGTGAGCACTATACACTTTGTATTCTGTGTTGTAACTGAAATCAATATATTTGAAAATGTAGAAGACGTCCAAAATATTTAAATAAATGGTATTCTATTAACAACGCGATTAATCACGATTAATTTTTTTAAATCACTTGACAGACCTACTTTTATCCATGTGGCACGAACAAATAATTCTACAGAGCAAGTTGGTTGCCTTTAGGAGGAACCAGATTGTCCCAGTAGTCAGATATTTTCAACAGTTTTTCCCAGGAGAAAACATTCCCATACTCCATACAGGGCCTTCACCTCCCCAGTTCAGTTGCGTACAAGAATGCTGTCTGGTGCTATCAGTATTCTCAGTATATTTGTCAGGTTCAAAGCACATATCTATTAGAAGTTTGTTTTCCCCATGCGGTTGCATCTTTCCTTGTCTGCAGTTGTGAGACAGCATTAAGTCTACATTTTCAAAAGTGACTCGTGATTTGGGGTTCTTCAGATTTTGGGTGTCCAACTTTTGAGATACCTTAAAAGAGACCTGATGTGCAAAGGGTGGGTGCTCAACCCTTTGAAAATCATGTTCCTTTAGGGGAGGTGTCTCCAGATCACCCCAAATCGCTAGTCACTTTTGAAAATGTAGACTTAATGCTGTCTCACAACTGCAGACAAGGAAAGACGTAACTCCATGGGACAAACAAACTTCTAACAGATATGTGCTTTGAACCTGACAAATATACTGAGAATACTGATAGCACCAGACAATGTACAATGATCACCTCTATAGTCACTTTTGGAAATCTTGACCATGTTTTCTAAATGGTAAAACAAGTGAATTTTGCAAAAACTTGTTCTCTTTGCAGCACCTATACTTGACGGCTTTTATCACAAACTAAAGGAGAACTCTCTTCTAGAGGCCCCTTGTTAAACTATTGGCAGGATGCAGAAAGGCCCTGTCTACTGAAGAGAAACCATCATAGCAGAAGTGTTCTTAAATATTATTTTAAACCAGTTTCTTCTAATCATAGTGCCAACATAGTTTGTCTGTCCTCTATGAATCAGGCATAACTGTTTTAAAGTAGCGTTTAAAGTGTTCCTAAGCTGGGTTGCATGATAATGAGAAGTTCAAATCTTAAATGAGAAGTCAAGATGTTCAAAACAAAATTCCCTTTTTAGCTCTGGAAATGGAACATGCCATATAGCCAGCCACTGCTCCTATAGGGAGCTCACACTTAGGGCAGCTCCGAGTGTCTACTTTCAGCTCTGTAGTACAGAACTCTCTGCCTTAACACTGGGAATGTCCAGGTTCCCTATTCCTCTCCATACCTCTTCCCCATGCACCTTGCCTGTGAAAATGCTCAGGTACTCAGTCTTATTCCCTTCCTCCTGCTGTTGCAGAAGCCCATACTCTCAGTCATGTCTCCCACCTAAAACCTTTAACCAGGAGACAGACAGGCATCAGACATCCTAGATTATGCTGTTTAGTCACAGAAGTCAGGAGGAAGCTTGGAGCTGGATTAGGGGATCTCGTGTCCTCACGCTGCTTGAGACTCTGGTTTGCATCTAGCCCCTGTTTGCCATCTGGAGGGCCTTGGCAGTGCATGAAAGAAAAGTGGTAACTGAAATACTTTCCAGTTCCTGGTTCCTCCAGCTGAACAGTGATGTGAATTGGAGAAGCTGTTTGTGCAGGGCATAGAAGCAGCTGTTTAGTGCCTGTAGTGCAGGCTCATCTTCCGGTACCCTTCATTCCATTGTCTGAGACATGAGTCTCAAATCTAACACCATTTAACTAAAAGCCTCGACTGTGCGGAGAGCTCCAGACATAGGATTACATATTTCACATCCCATGCTTCCTCTATCTAAAGACTGCTTAGGCTCCATGTCCTGGAGGAGGTCAAGGTGCTGCTACTCAAGTTAAAGTGCCAGCATGTGTCGTATTATTCCGGGGGTGTGCATTTGTGGGGTGTTCTTCTCAGAAGAACAGAGTTGGGAGCAGAGCATCTT